TAAGCTCTGTGTTCCCTTTTTGTGAGATCTTTTGATGTGCACAGATGTCTAGTATTAAAAGGTCCCAGTCATCATTTTTCTTCTGCTGTTTGTGTGTGTTCAGTTATATTTGATAGTGCACTTATGCCTTTTTTTTTAGGATGGCTGTATTTCCCCTATTTTTTCATTGATAATCTAGTCTAGGCTTTACAATCAGATCTTTGCTTAATGTCGAGTTGTTTTTTTTGTATATGATGTGAGAGATATGGGTCTTGTAATGAATATCCATTTTTGGGGCAGCATTTGTTAAACATACTATCTCTTCGCTATTTATTGTATTCTGGTCTTTTGACAAAAATCAGCTATCCATATGGTTTCTGAATTTACTTCTGAGTTCTTAATTCTGTTTCATTGAAGTTATGTGTTTACAAGGTTGTTGTGACTACTGTGATTATGAAGAAGATTTTGAGATCAGGAAGTTAGCAGCCTCTCACTTTGTTCTTCTGTTTTAATGTTGCTTTGTTTATCCTAGGTCTCTTTCCTTGCCATATAAAATGGGGATTACTTTTCCCACCTATTTAAAGAATGATATTGGAATCTTGATCAGGATTGCCTTATATCTGTAGATAACATTGGATAGTGTTGATACTTTCACATTGTTCAATCTTCTTTCATTAACATGATATATTCTTCCTTTTATGTAGTTCTCCTTTGACTTCATGTCCTGTTTTGTAGTTCTCTTTCTATTTGCTTTCTTGTTACTATGCAAGATTGAGCCAGCTCCAACTCATAATAATCCTATATGCAACAGAATGCAACACTGAGTCATCTTCAAATTGTTAAGTGTGAGCCACCATGTCAATCCATATTCTTGATGTTATTTCATCTTTTTTTGCAGATTCTTTACTTTCCCATGAATTGAGAGTTGCCCTGACACAGTCTGGTCATTTGATCAAGACAGCAACCTGGTTCTGTTTACCCAGGACGGTACAAGCACCCATAGAAGTGGTTGGCAACCAGAACATTGAGAACATTTCCATTATCCAGAACCTCCTGTTGACCAGAAGCCTCCACCCTACTACCCTAGTACCCAATGATATCCCCCTGCATGACTCCTGCTTTGGGTTAGAAGATTGAGTGTCAGTTGCATACCACTGAACTCTGCCTCATTAGACCAAGAGAATGTGCACAGCCACATGGGCATCCTGACACCATTCACCCCTCAGCAGGCAGCAATTACTTCCAGAACAAATTGCCCCGACCCAGCTACTTTCCAGGCCTGAAAGAACTTCTCTGGATCAGGTGCCCTTACCATACACACCTTATTTGCTAGCAGTAACTTGGTCAGGGACTGCGGCTGGGTGTCTCATCTCATCACCCCTCCTTGACCCCATGACCTCCTTAGTTTCCAATCAGGATTAATCCATTGGAGCCTTGTCCTAACCACACCAGTTTTTTCTTTATTTTTTCCCCTTTCCCTCTTCTTGTTTTTCCCCTTTTACT